AGAGAATCGTTGATCGGCTGCCTCCTGCACATCCCCCACTGGGGATCGAGCCTGCAACTGGGGTATGCTCCCTTGGCCAGAATCGAACCTGGGACCCTTCAGTCCTCAGGCTGACGCTCTATCCATTGAGCCATACCAGCTAGGCCCCCCCCCCTTTTTTTTTCTTGCCTTATTGCATTGGTGAGTGCTATTGCTCCCCCCCCACCCCCAGTGGAAGATCTTGGCCACTCCCCTTGTCCTGTGGGTGATACTTATTTGTTTGCCATGAGTTTTTGCTTTGAATTATTTTTAAGTAAAGGCAGTTCTTCCTGAAACCCTCACTTTTTTTTCCCTCCAGTTTCTTAATAGTTTTTTTGAACATCAAGTTCATGTTAAATTTTGTTGATTGCTTTTCTGGATTCTGAGATACAATGTCTGGTTTTTCACCTTTGAGTAACTTCCTAAATTTCTCCAAACCCATTTTCCCACCTGTAAAATGTGATAGTGAAATGAGATCATTAAGTTAGATGGTGTCTGACTCAGGCCGGTGAGTGCTCAGCTCCCTTCCCTGCTGTGCCCTCACAGTGCTGCCTCAGTGCCACCTCCTGTATAGTCTCCAGGGACTCTGCTCCTGTGCCCACAGGCTGGCCAGACCATTCCAGCTCATCAGGGAGAGGGCCTGTGGCTGGCCCCCCGCGCCACTTCCTGCTTGGCAGGGTTGCAGGCTCCAGTTGCTTTGTAGGCCAGGGGAGGACTTGGGCTTTCACCCCAGGGAGCTCTCTCTCCCAGGCTGTGGGCAGAGCAGAGAGGACCTGACTCTGTTGCTCACCGGCGGCCTCTGGTGGCCGCTGTGAGGAGGACAGACCGGAGCGGGGTCTAGATCTGTGGAGACTGCTGGTCCGGGTGAGCGGTGATGGAGTGGAGAGGAGTGGGAGCAGTGGCACATCTGGACAGAATGAAGGTAGCGCCGAGTGCTGAAGGACATACGCTAAAGCCCCTTCCTTGGTTCTAGGGGCCCGCCGTTTTTTGGGAGCTTCCCTTTCTTGGTTTCCACATTAGTCATGTGAAGAAGTAGCTCCAGCCTGGCCAGCATGGCTCAGTGGTTGAGCGTTGACCTATGAACCAGGAGGTCACAGTTCAATTCCCGGTCAGGACTCATGTCCAGATTGCGGGCTCAGTCCCTAGTGGGGGGTGTGCAGGAGGCAGCCAATCAGTGATTCTCTCTCATCATTGACGTTTCTATCTCTCTCTCCCTCTGCCTTTCTCTCTGAAATCAAATGTGTACACACACACACACACACACACACACACACAGTAGTCGCTGCTGCTTTCCTCAGCGGGCCGCCCCACCCACCGCCACTGGTAGCTCTCTGCTGTGCATAGCTTGCTGCCCCGCCCTCCTGCTGATTGGTCATTAAGCTTCACCGCATAACGACCATTTGCATATTACCTCTTTATTATAGAGGACGTGTAAAAGAAGCAGTTCCTGCCGAGGCTTGTGTGTGCAGAGGGGGAGAACTCTCTCTGTCCCTCCCTCTGTCTGTCGCTTGTCCATCAGAAGTCAACAAGCATTCATAGGCGTCTGCTGGTGGCTGGACCAGACCCACAGGCAGCACAATTGTGCCTTGGGCAGGTCTTGGCCTGAGATAGGGGCTGCATAGGGCCTGTCCTCCCAGCTGTACGTGTCAGGCTCTTTCCCTCCAGGTTAGTTTTAAAAATTAATTTCTTAAAAATAAATAGGGTGGCTCATTCAGAAGATAATTGGTCCCATCTTGGTCTGGGAGGAGCTCCACATCTGGGTGTGGTCTCTGCCATCCCCAGCCTGACCCAACCAGTGGGAGTGACCACCCTCCCCTGCAGCTGCATGACCTCTTGCAACAGACTCAACCCTGAGCCATTGTCCCTCTTTCTGAAGATGTGTGGAGGCCGAGAGTTACAGGGTCACTGCCCTCACAGGCATCACGCTGTGGAGGGGCAGATGATGAGGGTAAGAAAAGGAATGTCAGAGAGCAGGTGGGGACATGCAGATGGCAAAACTGGGGAATGTGGCCTGAGTAACAGGACAGGGAGGTGACTGGGTGGCCACTCTGAGGGGAGGCTGGGTTGAGACCTGAAGGCCAAAGGGCTGGCCTTGGGGAGACCTGGCGAAGACTTGTTTGGGGCAGAAAGAATGGCGTGGTGCCGGTGCCCTGAGGTGTGTGTGTGTCCATTCCTTGCACCGCCCCCCACAGAGTTCAAACACCTTGGGTGGGGAAGCAGGAGGACATAGGAGGTATGGTTTGTGGAGGAGGCCAGGACTGCGGTGTTGGACTTACTTTGGCAGCCCTGGGATGAAGGACCTGGAGCTACAGAAGACTCAGGTGGTCACCGCTGGGTGGGCTCTGGGTTAAGGGGCCCCCACACGAGGTCTAGAATGTTCTACCCTGGTCCACCACTGGCTTCCTACCTTCTCTTCCTTCTCCACATCCCAAACTCAAACCATTAATTGTCCTGCTGTTGGGCATCCAATAAAAATATTATGTCAGCTTTCCAGCATCTTCCGGCCCCCACTTGCCACCGGCAGAGCCCCGGGATATGCCAGAGCCCAGGTTCGTCCCTGTGGCCAGGATGCCCGGGTGGAGAGCCTCAGACATCTGCGAGTAGGCACCAAGGGTCTGGCCTGACTCCCATCTAGTTGGCGTATCTTAGTCCAGCTGCCCTGTCTGGGGCCCTGGGGAGTGACTCAGTCTGTTGGCTTTGTCCCCCGGCCCAGGGTCCCGTTTGGTGGACCCTGTGGCCATGAACTTAGTCTCAGCCAGTTGCCCCCTCAGCCTCAGTTTCCCCATCTGGACCATGCCCTAGGGGGTCTCAGCACCCCACATACACAGGTGGGCACTCAGGGTGCGGCTGGGGTGGTGGTCATGGCTAAAAGAGGACACGAGTCCACACCCCTGCTGCCCTGGTTGCACCTATGGCTGTGTCAGCTTGGGTTGTTTTATATGTTTTTTATTGAGAGATCATTCATATACGATAAAATTCACACTTTTAAGCATACAGTTCAGCATTTTTTGTACCTTTACAATGTGCAACTGTCACTGATTGGAACAGAGCAGGTTCCTCCTCTGCTGGGTAAGATTGACCCCTGACCCCTCACCTGGGCCTGCCTCTCTCTTCCTTCCTGACCCTCACCCTTCCAGGCTGCCAGTCCACTCTCAGAGTTCCAGCTCTGACTGCACCCTGATGACTCCCTCAGTCCTGTCTCCAGCCAGGGCTCCCCTGAGCTACAGACTCAGGGTCCATCTGCCCCTAGATGTCTCCACGTGGACGGCTCACAGGGGTCTCACACCCAACACAGCCACAATGCGCCTGTCCATCCCCCCAAACCTTCTGCCCATCCCCGTCAGCTGGCAGCTCCTTCATTCTGTTCATTGCTTCAGTCAAAATCCTTAGTCATTTCTGACTCCTTGCCTCTTCACTCCACCTCCAGTAAGTACAGCTTGTCTGTCCTAACTTTAGATCTCTCCAGAATCCGCCCATTTCTCCCCCCTCCTGGCCTCCACCTTGGTCCACCCCATCAGCTCCCACCTAGACCAGGCAGTCCTCTTGCCCTGCTTGGTCCCTGGCTCCTGTCCTAGCCCCCACATCCACCCACAGTCTGTCATCCCCAGCAGCCACCAGAAGGCGCCTGTGAGCACCTATGTCATGGCCAAGCCACAGCCTTCCAGGGCATCCAACCTCCCTCAGGGTCAAAGCCCAAGATCTTCTTTGCTAATCTGCGCCCGAGGGCAGGGGCCAGGCCTGTCCTGGTCATCACCTGCTTCCCCCCAGTGACACCTAGTGAATGAGTTTCCTGTTGCAGCTGAAACAAATCACTGCAATTTTGCCTTAAAACCACACACATTTATTCTCCGACCGTTCTGGGGTCGGGAGTCTGACATGGATCTCACTGGGCTAAATCCAGGTCTGGGTAGGGCTGGTTCCCTCCTGAGGCTCCAGGAAGAACCATTTCTGGCCTTTTCTAGCTTCTAGAGGGGTCACATCCTTGCTTGTGGCCCCTTCCTTTATCTTCACAGCCAGCAATGCAGCCTCTCCCATCATTCACTCTGACCCTCCTGCCTGCCTTTTATAAGGACCCTGTGATGACACTGGTCCCCTGGGGACCTAGGGTCATCCCCATCCCAGGGGCCTTAACTCAGTTCTGCCTGCAAAGCCCATTCTGGGATCAGGATGCGGACACCTTTTGCGGGGAGGGGGCATATCTGCTGACCACCCTCATTGGGCAGATCATCTTCAGCAGAATCCACTTTCCTGGTGAGGACACCAGGGCTCAGAGGTCAGTGGCAGGCCTGAGGCCTCCCTGCTGGGAACCGGAGATGAAGGAATGGTCTGACAGAGGAAAATTGCCTGCCTTCCTTAGGCCAGCGAAGCGCTCCTGGAAGCTGTGGTAAAACCAGTCCTTGGCTGGCTTTCCATAGCTGGCTCCCTAGACAGGGCCAATAGAGCTGGCACCATTGCTCCAGCCTGGGGCCCCAGCCACTGCCTACTGACCATAGCTCCCCAGAGCCCCGGGCCCTCCCCACAGCACCATCCCGACCTTGACCCTCCAGGTCCCCTGATTTCTTTGTGACCCAGGTGTCTCCTGGTTAAGCCCTGCTCCTACCAGCAGAGGAAGGGTGGCACTTTGTAAATGCAGGTCCTTAGTTCTTTCCACTAAGGACCTGATGTCTTTGGGGTAAATGGTGGATCAGAGTTGGGGGGTGGTCTCTCCTGCTGTTCCTGCCTGGGGGGTACCCAGCATCCAGTCATCCCGCCACCTCAGTGTGTCCTGTGTCTATGCTCCCCTTTCCCACAAGGGGTTCTTATGGTCCTCCCTAGGGACACAATGCCCAGTGAGGTTGTAGGCGCCTGTGTGTCAGGGAGGGAGCATGGTGACAGTGGCCCGAACCCCCTGGGAGCCCCTGCAGGGGCAGGTGCAGGTTGGTGGTAGGCCCTGTGGGTTGGACTCCCCGCTGCCAGTCTCACATCTCCCTTCTCTTCCTCAGGTTTGGCCCAGAAAAAGACGGCCCTGACGGAGGTGAGTGTCCGTGGGTCCTATCCTGACTTGCCTCCTCCAGAAGACAGCACCAGCCCTGCTCGAGTTCTGCTCTGTGGCCTTGGGCACCTCACTGTACCTCTCGGGGGGCCCAAATGATGGCAGATGTGAGGGGGGGGAAATCCCATCCCCCGGCCCGCGTGGGGAGTTTCCCACAGGGGTTCTGGTGCGGGAGGGATGACGCCCAAGAACTCGGCCCTGGGCCAGTGAGGGAAAGGGAGGGGAGACCAGAAAGGGGAGGCCAGAGAGGTGAGAAGGAAGTTGGGCAAGTGCCAGTCCCGGAGGATCTGGCCAGGAGGGTGGTGCCTGACCAGTGCCTGACTAGCAGCACCTTTAGTGTAGTGTCCCTAGGCAGCCCACATAGCAGCACAGGGTCCTTTTCGTTCTCCACGCCTGTGAGCCCATCGTCTTCACCATCTTCCAGCCATGTTCCTAGAGAGCTTTCCCTGGTGACGGCCACTCTCGTGCACATATGCTGCCATGCTGTCCCGTGGGCCCTGCTCCTGTCCTCAGCGAAGGCAGTACAGAGGGGTCCCCACTGTGGTTAGTTTCCTGTCACTCCAGAAGGTGGCCCGGGAAGGGTGTGTCTGAGCCCCATTTTACAAGAGGAGCAGCCCAGGTGTGGCTTGCCTGCACCTGTAGCAGCAGGAGTCCTGCCTACGCATGCTTTGTCCCTATCCCTTGATGCCAGTCACCATATGAGTCCTTCTATGGAGGGCATTGTCCACTTGCTGGGGCCCTGCAGTGGGCTCAGTGCAGGACAGTGGGAGGGAGATGGGTGGGCCTAGGGGCTCCAAGGGCAATAGGGAGACAGTGAGAGGTGTGAGGCAGGGGCAGCAACAGAAGGTTCCTGAGGGAACCTTGCCCCCTAGTGGCCAGTGTGCAGAACACACAGGAGCCAAGCTGAGGAGTGTTGGCCGGTGGGGGGCATTTGAGGGCTGCCTAGAACTGATGTGGGGCAGTGCAGGTTGGGCTGGTGGCCTGAAGGACTGTGTGAGATTTTTGAATGGTGGTAGGTACATAGTAGGTACTTCTTTTTTTTTTTTTAATAATATATTTTATTGATTTTTTTTACAGAGAGGAAGGGAGAGGGATAGAGTTAGAAACATCGATGAGAGAGAAACATCGATCAGCTGCCTCCTGCACACCTCCTACTGGGGATGTGCCCACAACCAAGGTACATGCCCTTGACCGGAATCAAACCTGGGACCTTTCAGTCTGCAGGCCGACGCTCTATCCACTGAGCCAAACTGGCCAGGGCAGTAGGTACTTCTTAAATGTCAGTGACAGGTGGAGCCACCAAAGAGGCACTCAGTTCCTGTCTGCTGGCTGGCCTTGGCCCCTGATTCTAAACTGGCTTCTGTGTCCCTCCAGGCTCCCATTGCCCCTTCCACTGTCCTCCTCTTGTGACGGCACACATGAGGGCCAGTGGCTTCCACACAAGTTTGTTGGGATGGCCGATGTCACACCTGCCACAGCTGACCCCTAGAGCTTGCAGGAGCTGGGCCTGCTCCCAGGAGGGGATGCTGTTTGTAATCATTTCAGCCCAGAGGGCTGTTCGGCCCCCAGGGGACACGGAATGATGTCTGGGCACATCTGTGCTTGTCACACTGGGGTTGTTCCTGGCATTGAGTGGGTTGGGACCAGGGATACTGGTTACTCGCCCAAAGTACCCAGGAAGTCCCCCCACAGAGAATGACCTGGCTCCAATGTCAGCAGAACTGAGGGAAAGGCCCTAAAATTAGGCCTGGGTGGTCGGGGCTGCCGGCCTCCAGCTTTTTCAAGGAGCTGGTGGTCTGGTCTGCATGTGGGCCCTTCTGGATGTGAGGTATTGCCCACTGGGTGTACAGCCTGCCCACACAGCTTTCTGTCCCCGCTTCCCCCCGCATGGCCCACATGGCCCAGCCCTGGCTCCAGCTGGGCGCGGTGACTAAGCTCCTCTCTTGCCAGAGTTTCTGGAGCGCTATGGCTTCGGTGGCTCCTCCTTGCTGACTTCTAATGCTTCCTGTTTTCTTTTCTCCAGGCCCCGTCAGTGACTGGACAGCCGGGCCCTGGTCACGGGAGGAAGCTGGGCCATCGGGGCGTGGACGCATCTGGTGAAACCACTTACAAAAAGGTTCTTCCTCTGCCCTTAGCCAGCTGAGGCGGAGTGAAGGGGGGCTCTCAGCAGTTCAGGGGACCCATCTGCCCCACACGCACATGCACAGTGTTCACTGAAGGTCATGGGCCCCTCAGTGCTGGCGAGGTCCCTGCTGCATGTCATCATCTCAGGCAGCCTAGGGATGTGCTCTGAGGCTACACAGGCTGCACGGCCTTCCTGATTCCAGGAGTCACCTTGGTGAGCCCTCATCTCCCAGCCCTGCTGGCTCATCTAGCGATAGAGGAAATTATCCCTTTTCTCCTCAAGAAAGCAGGGCTGAGATGCGGTGGTAATGGGGAGCTCTGAGCCAGGCCCGGCCACAAGAGTCTGCAGGGAGCCTGGACCCCGCTGCCATTAGCCCTCCATTTCTCAGTTATACTTCCTGATACATCTTTGCTGAGAGAGTGTACACACACCATGTGATTTCCCCCCTTGAAGTGTACAATTCAATGGTCTCTAGAGAATTCACAGAGTTGTGCAGTTATCACCACAGTTAATTTTAGAATATTCCCGTTTCCCCTAAAAGATACCCCATCCCGATCTAGCTGGTGTGGCTCAGTGGTTGAGCATTGACCTATGAACCAGGAGGTCACAGTTCTATTCCCAGTCGAGGCACATGCCCAGGATGCAGGTTCGAGCCCCAGTAGAGGGGGCATGCAGGAGGCAGGCGATCAGTGATTCTCTCTCATCATTGATTGATGTTTCTATCTCTCCCTCTCCCTTCCTCTCTGAAATATTTATTTATTTATTTATAAATAAATATTTATTTATAAATAAATATTTATTTATTTATTTTTAAAGATACCTTATCCCTATTAGTAGTCACTCCCCATCCCCCTACCCACTTCCCATCTCTAGATGTGCCTGTTCTGGACATTTCACATAAATGGACTCACACACTGTGTAGCCTTTTGGATCTAGCTTCTCTCACTGAGCACCATGTGTTCAAGGACCATCCACATTGTAGTGAGTGTCAGTGCTTCGTTCCTTTTCATGGATGAGTAATATTCCCCCATGTGGGTGAACACATTGTGTTTATCCATTCACCCATCGATGGACATTTGGCTTGTTTCCACTTTGGGGCTGTTACGAATAATGCTGCTATGAAAATTTGTATGCAAGTTTTTACAGACATGCTTTTATCTTTTTGGAGCATATACCTAGCCGTGGAATTGCTGGTCACACAGAAACTCTGCATACATTTGAGGAACTATTAGACTGTTTAACACAGTGGCTGCCCCATTATCCATTCCCACCAACTGTGCAAGGGGATTCCAGTGTGTCCTGGTCCTCACCAGCACTTGTCTGTCATTCTGATTACACCCATTCTAGTGCATGTGAAGTAGTATCTCACTCTGGTTTTGATTTGCTTTTCCTGAAGGCTAATGGTGTTGCTTATCTTCTCCTCTGCTGTTGGCCATTTGTGGATCTCCTCTGGAGAAACATGTGTTCTGTTGATAGCATCTTGAGGGAGTTGAGTGTGGAGGGTAGAGCAGGCCCTCTCAGTGAGGGGGTTCAGGAGAAGAGGCAGCTGGAGGCTGCAAGACCCCCGCACAGGATGGACTTGCTCAGGGGCAGAAGCTAACTCCTGCCTGCCCTCCTGCTATTGCACCTGTGACATCTGGGGCCCAGAATCAGAGACTGAAGGTTGAGATAGCTTTCCTCAGTGATGCACATGCTGCTTAGAGCCACAGTGACACCGTAAACCACAGTGATGAGAAAAGTGCAAACAGCGAATGCTTCTTAGGCATAGGCAGCTTTTGGTCCGGACCACTCACATGAACTAACACACTGTCATCTCCATTCCTGGCTACAGATGGAGAAACAGGCACAGAGAGCCAATATCATTCTCTGGTCATGATATGAATCACCTAGAAAGTGGGTAGAAGAAACCCAGGTTTACAGAAATGAAGTTGGGTGTGTCTCCATATGTTATGTCCCCTTCTTCCAAAAAACCCTGATGGTGGATAGACAGCTGCTGCATCAGGGCAGTTTTGGGATGTTGGAATGTTCTAGAATCTTGATTGAAAATGGGCCTTGGGGTCATAAGAGGCAGTATTGGAGTCTTAGCCAACCCACTTCTTTGCTGTGTAGCTGTGCAGGCCAAGCGACTAGCCTGAGGCCCGCAAATCTGTAATAAATGCTAGTAGGACCCTGGGGCCCAGGGCTGGGGTAGGGGCTGGCCAGGGGTAGTTCTCGATGTGGCTGCGTTTCCCCACAGACCACGTCTTCCACCCTGAAGGGGGCCATCCAGCTGGGCATTGGCTACACCGTGGGCAACCTGAGCTCCAAGCCAGAGCGAGACGTGCTTATGCAGGACTTCTACGTCGTGGAGAGCATCTTCTTCCCCAGGTAGGCCTGGCTCCCACGCCTCCCAACAGCCCCCCTGACAGACACAGTGTTGTCATACGAAACAGCCTCGTGTTCTCTGAGCTCCCTTCTCTGCGGCAAATAGCCTTTACTGGTGTCTGTTTGACTTTGAGGTCTGACTCGGTATTCATTAGGATATTAGTTTGCTGCTGAGTCAGAGAGAGTCAGTGTAATGCTGGTGTTTTTTTAATAGGGGAAAAGAAGTTTGTTTTTCTCTTTCTCACACAAACAGAAAAGTCTATAGGCAATCCAGGGCTGGTCAGGTGGGTCCTGGGTTCCTTCTTGTTGCTCCCCCATCCTCAATATGCAGCTTTTCTAATCAGCAGCCCAGGTGGCTGCCTAGGCTTCTGCCATCACATCTGCATTCTAACAGCAGGAAGGAGAAGGGGAAGGGCAGCACATTCCCCTTTCCTTTAGGGCACAACCCGGAAATGACACACATCATTTCTGCCCCACTCACAGCTCATTGGCCAGGTTCAGTCACCTGACCACACCTGGCTGCAAGAGAGGCTGGGAAGTGGTCTCGTTACAGGTGGTCATGTGCTCATCCACATGGTCATGTGGACTCTTGCCAAGGAAGGAGCGGGGACAGGATACTGGGTCTCCTGAGACTGGCCACAGCCCTGGGTCCCATTGGAAGCCTCAAGTTGCCTTTCAGTTTGGCCACTGAGGGAAGGCCGTGGAGCACAGCACCCAGAGGCACCATCCCTCACAGGCTTTCCTCCCTCCTTCCTCCACAGTGAAGGCAGCAACCTGACTCCCGCTCACCACTTCCAGGACTTCAGGTTCAAGACCTATGCACCTGTCGCCTTCCGCTACTTCCGGGAGCTCTTCGGCATCCGGCCAGATGATTACTTGGTAGGTGTGTTAGTCAGTTGTTGCTCTGTAACAAGTTAGCACAGACTCAGTGGCTCAAAACACCACCTGGCTGTAACCTCACAGTTTGTGGATCAAGAATTGGGTGCAGCTTAGCAGGGCTCTTTGCTCAGGGTTGTAATCAAGAGGTGGGCAGTAGTTGGGGTCCCATGTGACACTAGACTGGGGAAGGGTCCAAGGCCAAGCTCATGTTGTCATTGGCGGGACTCGGTTCCTTGCTGGCTGTAGGTTGGGGCCCCTTTTCCTTCAACACAGGAGGGAGAAAGAGAGCCTGCCAGCAAAGCAGACGTTACTGTCTCCTATGAGCTCATCATAGATGGGACCCCCCACCCACTCACCACTCTCCTTCCAGTACTCACTGTGCAATGAGCCTCTGATCGAGCTGTCCAACCCTGGCGCCAGCGGCTCCCTCTTCTACGTCACCAGCGACGATGAGTTCATCATTAAGACGGTGATGCACAAAGAGGCAGAGTTCCTGCAGAAACTGCTGCCCGGCTACTACATGGTAGGGGTCATGGGTTCCCGCAAGGTTCCAGGGGGTGGGGGCAGTGTCCTGGGCTTCCTTCCAGCCCCTGTCTGCCTCCCCCAACCTTATACCCCTCTTCCTCTCGGCACATGCAGCAATTCCGCTCTGCCCCCAGCTCCTTTTCACAGGAGCAAAGGCTCTAAGGCCCTGGCAGAGGGGTCCCCAAGGCTCTTCCTGGGTCTCATGGCCTCACCCTCAGAGACCCCCTCAGGCAGTCCCCCCACACATGTGAGCAGGAATTGCTGTTTAGGTCCTGGCTCCCCATTCTCTACCCCACTGATGTCCCTGAGCCCTGGTCCAGAAATTGTGGCTCATGGACAGAGTGCTTCGGCATTTGGTGACTCAGAGGCACGGGGGAAGAGGAGCTGGGCCACCAGCTGGCACCTCGCAAAGGACCAGCTGCTTGGGCATCCCCATTCTGGTATGACTCAGGACTCAAAAGGGCATATCAGGCCCCTGGGCAGGGTTGGGAGCGGGGGTCCTTACACTCAGGTGGGCTCCACCTGAGTGTCGACTGCCCTGCTGTGCTGACCTGGTGGGCATGGGGACAGACCCCTTTGGGTGCTCTGCCCAGGTTGTGACCATCTCCCTTAGGGCATCCCTCATCTGCTATGTGTGATCTTGGTGGGACCCCTGCGTCCCCTAGATCAGGGACCAGCAAATTTTCTGTAAAGAGCCAGACAGCTGTGTGAGCCAACAGCCTGTCTCCTCAGCTCAGCTCTGCCATTGCAGCAGGAACACCACTATAGACAGTGCCTGAGCAGACAGGCAGGCAGAGTGCCAATAAAACTTTATTTATGGACACTGAAATGTGAATTTTATGAAGTTTTTATGTCACAAAATGCTATTTTTCTTGTATGTTTTTTCAACTCTTCACTAACATAAAACCATTAGTATGAGAACAAGCAGCTGGATGGAGTTGGCGCTCGGGCTGGAGTTTGCCAACCCCTGCTCTGGGGTTGGGGAACCCTAGGGTGGACTGGGGAAGAGGGACACCTAGTCTGACCTGGTGGGAAGCTGGGCCCAGACACCTCATGGTGTCCCATGGGGTTCTTTATCGAAAAGCCATGTCTCTGGACCTGGCTTGATAGAAACAGGCCCTCCTGGAGCTTCCATTTGGATGGGGGGATAGAGAATTAAACTGGCTGATGTGACCCGTGTAAAGTTGGGGTGCTGGGGAAGGAGGTGGTCGGTCAGGGAGGAGGTGACCTCTGGCCTGAGATCTGAGCGGCTGTGTGTGAGGCCAGGGAGTGTGGGAGTGGCTACGAGGCAGAGCGTCGCCTCCTGGCTGCTGTCTACCGACACATTCCCCTCTCCCACACCCCCCAGAACCTCAACCAGAATCCGCGGACGCTCCTGCCCAAGTTCTACGGGTTGTACTGCGTGCAGTCCGGGGGCAAGAACATCCGTGTGGTGGTCATGAACAACATCCTGCCGCGCATGGTCAAGATGCACCTCAAGTTTGATCTCAAGGGCTCCACATACAAGCGGCGGGCCAGCAAGAAGGAACGGGAGAAGAGCATCCCCACCTACAAGGACCTGGACTTCATCCAGGACATGCCCGAGGGTCTCCTGCTGGATGCCGACACCTTCTCTGCGCTCGTCAAGACGCTGCAGCGGGACTGCCTGGTGAGCCTTGGCCCCCGCCCCGCTGCCCCAGTCCCACTGCAGAGGAGGAACTTAGGGCCACAGAGGCTCCCTTGCCCTGGCGAGTGCAGGTGGGTAAGGGCGGGGACCTTGGGACACACGCCCCTGTGTGGTCCTAAGCCTCTCTCAGCCTCAGTTTTCCCATCTGTGAACCGGCGATGCTGGTGAACGCTAGTGCAGTGTGAGCCCGAGATACATAGCCCAGCACCAGGCTCCCTTCTGCTCCCCTCGTCCCTATGTCCTAATCAGACTGTTCCTACCACACAACCGAAACCCACAGAAGCAGCTCGACATTCTCATGGCCCCTAAGGGGCACCTCAGGTCCAGACCTGCTCCCACCACCCAGCACTCCTGGCTCCGTGCCGCCCTCTTCCACAGCCGGTGCTTTTTAGGGATAAGGAATGCTCTGCCAGGGTCTTCACAGGCTCTTAGTCTCAGCCAGACTGTGCCCACCCCCACCCGTCCCACAGCCTGGAAGGTCAGGCCACTCCCCCTTTAGCAATGAAGAAACAGACCTGGCAAAGGGCATCCCTGCCGAGATCCTCAGCTGTCAGGGGCTGGGCTGGGTCCTCTCGTGTCCTCTGCTCTGTGTCCCTGTCCCCTCAGCTCACAGACACTGTGGAAAACTTCACACAGTGTCACCAGAAAACCACTTTTTTTAAAAAAATATATTTTATTGATTTTTTACAGAGAGGAAGGGAGAGAGATAGAGAGTTAGAAACATCGATGAGAGAGAAACATCGATCAGCTGCCTCCTGCACATCTCCCACTGGGGATATGCCCGCAACCCAGGTACATGCCCTTGACCGGAATTGAACCTGGGACCCTTCAGTCCGCAGGCCGACGCTCTATCCACTGAGCCAAACCGGTTTCGGCAGAAAACCACTTTGATGTCTCAGGGCCTTTCGGCGTCTGGGGGATTCATCCCCCGAGCCTGATGGTCATGTGCCTGGACTCCACTGTGGGGCTGGAGTGGGTGTTGCATCCACAGCACCCAGGCTCCCCAACTGGCGCCAGGGAAGTGGGATCGCAGAGTCAGCTGCTCTGTCTCAGGAGAGGAAGCTTTCTGTCCAGTCTCAGAGAGGCAGCCTGGCTTAGGGTTACACCCACCCCCTAGGCCACCCTAGGAGCCAATCTCAGCTCTGTCACCATCTGCCTGCTGCACAGCCTGGCCTTCCACCCTTGGTCTCCTTGTCTGTGAAATGGGGATAGCAAAGGGTCTCCCTGCGTGGCTGTGGAGACTGAATGGACAGAGATGCAGGGTGCGCAGCTTGAGATCACCACCAGGTTTGGGGGCAGGGGGAGGGGGACAGGGCGTGTGTCCTGACACTCTCCCCCCCACACACACTCGGTAGGTGCTGGAGAGCTTCAAGATCATGGACTACAGCCTGCTCCTGGGTGTGCACAACATCGACCAGCAGGAGCGGGAGTGGCAGGCTGAGGGTGCCCAGAGCACGGCCGATGAGAAGCGGCCACTCGGTCAGAAGGCGCTCTACTCCACAGCCATGGAGTCCATCCAGGGCGGGGCCGCGTGTGGGGAGGCCATCGAGACGGATGACACGTAGGTAGTGGGGCTGGCGGGGCTTCCAGCTCTTGTCTCTACCCACCCCTCTGACCAGGTGTGAACATGGGCAGGGGGAGCTGGCACAGAAGGCAAGCAATGACAAAGCAAACCAGGCAGAAGCCTGTCTGTGGCCAGTTTCTGGTCTGTACACAGGCACAGCGGTGTCTGCCCACCAGGCCTGGTGAAGGTCAGACAGATGACACACAGCTATGGCCAGGGTGTCTTGACCTCAGCAGACACTGATCAGTGGATTCAGGCCATTGTCCATCCACATGGGAAACATAGAGGTCCCCTTCCTCCTGTTGGACCCCACTGCGTGAAGCACAACTAGACAGATATTGAAAGGTGGCACAGGATATGGAGATGACTGGGGTTGGGAGAGCCCCTTTATAGCAAGATACCTAACCCAGAACCCACCAATGGGAGGACTGAGCGCGTTGCTTCCCCAAAGATAAAAGGTGACCGTGCCAAATGGCAAGGTCATAGAGAGGAGCATGTCCCGACTGCACCCCCTCAGCCTCAACCTCCCAACCTGATCCTGCCCTGGGGGCTTAGTCAGGGAGACAGACTCATGGCATGTCCCCCTTCCTCAGCACTGGGGACACTGAGGCCTGATCATTCTCAGTGGGGCACTCTCCTGGACACTGGGGTACTGAGCAGCATCCCTGGTCCCTACCCACTTGATGCTACCAGTACCCCCGGGCGTGATAACCACAGATATCCCCAGGCATGTCCCAGTGTCCCCTAAGGCAGAGTCATCCCGGACGAGAACTGCTATAGATGGGTCAAGATTGTTGATGAGCCATGCACTGACCATGCTGGGAACCAGCTGGACTCTCTACCTACATTACCCTGTTCTGTCCTTACGGGGGGCCCTGGAGGAGGAGGGGCCACCTCCCCATCTGTAGCTGGGGAAAGAGGTTCAGAGATGGGATGGAGATAGCTATCCTGTGTGCACAGCCAGCTGGTGGGGGGGCCAAGGCTTGACCCCAGCCCGGCCACTGCACTAGGCCACCAGCTGTGGAAGGCAGAGGGAACCTGGCACAGGGCTACGACTGGGCAAGGTGGGAGGGAGTGGCATGTGCAAAGGCCCTGCACAGCTGGCCCTGACCTCAGACCATCCTGGCATGTTTGTAGGATCTGCACAGGGCCCGGCAGGGGATGGCAGGGCATGCAGGTGAGCTCAGCAGTGCATGGAGTGCAGTGAGCAGAGCCTGATGCTGGTGGGTTTGGGTTATGATGGCTTCAGGATAGCTGCTACATCGTGGAACCGCATTAACCATCTGGGCTGGGCATGTTCAGGATTGAGGCTACGTGAGGCAATTAACTCCCAGACTACACCCAAGAGCCCTTGCAGTCCTGCCTGGGAGTGTGCGTGTGCATATATGTGCGTATTATGCAAGTGTGTGTGTGTGTGCGCGCGTGCGCTTGTGCACTACGAGTGTAACTGAGCAACTGTGCGTATGCATATACATGATATGTGTGCAAGTTGCATGAGTGCATGCAAGTGCACCATGTGTATGTGTGTGTGCACCGGGGCCTCTTAGCTGTGACCCTTCAGCAGCCTCAGGCCTCCAGCTTTGAATTTGAGCTGGCTGGTAGAGTTGCTCCATCCCATGCCAAGATGGGGGTCCCCTGTGCTGGGACCCCCGCTGAAGGTCCAGCCAAGCTACGACCTATAGGGGTCATGCGGATTTTTTAAAATATTTTTAAATTGATTTCTGAGAGGAAGGGAGAGATAGAAACATCAATGATGAGAGAAGCATTGATCGGCTACCTCCTGCATGCTTTCTACTGGGGATTGCACCTGCAGCCTGAGCATGTGCCCTGACCAGGAATCACACCGTGACCTCCTGGTTCATAGGTCTGCATTCAACCACTGAGCCACACCACCCGGGCTCATGTGGATTCTTTTTTTTTTTTTTTTTTTTTTAATATTTTACTGATTTTTTACAGAGAGGAAGAGAGAGGGATAGAGAGTTAGAAACATCGATGAGAGAGAAACATCGATCAGCTGCCTCTTGCACACCTCCTACTGGGGGTGTGCCCGCAAGCAAGGTACACGCTCTTGGCCAGAATCGAACCTGGGACCTTTCAGTCTGCAGGCTGATGCTCTATCCACTGCCCCAAAATGGTCAGGGCTCATGTAGATTCTTGAACCCCAGGCTCCTTTCTCCTTTCCCCCTTGTCTCTCCCCAAGTCCCAGACCAGGATTGGGGCCCCAGCCCCCTCCCACCTAGACCTGAGCAGGCGGGGCCAGTCCCTGGTCCTCTGGCCTGGATGTGTGGGTGATGGCGCTCTGGGCTCCTCTCTCTCCAGGATGGGGGGGATCCCCGCCGTGAATGGCCGAGGGGAACGTCTGCTGCTGCACATCGGGATCATCGACATCCTGCAGTCCTACAGGTGGGTGCCTAGCCCCCCAGGGGCACCTGCTCAGGGAGGCCGGTGCTGTCTGCTTGCAGGGCTCTTAGCCTTCAGGAAGGCTCCTGTTGGCCGCCCTCCTCCCCAGCCCTCCCATAACGGGAGCATTTGGTCCCCAACCTAGAGATTCCACCCCCGGAATCTAGATTTGTCCTAGGGACTCAGTAATGTCGAAGACAGGTCAAGGCCGATTTCTTCTTTGCGTGCTTCCCTTTTAAATATAGCAGGTCCTTGAACAACATCATTTCGTTCAACATGGTTGCATTATAACATTGCTGAGATGCCTAGGAACATAACTCATGTTTATCTCAGCTAGCCTGTGGTAACGTTGTTTTTGTTAGACATTGTTTCCGTTAGTCTCAGAACCTGTAAGTGAGGACTGACTTTGTAAAAATCAGCTCCTGCTCTTCAACTGTCACAGCCTGTTTTTTCTTTTGTTTTGATTTGTTTTGTTTCATATGGGAGGGCTGACCTTGTCTCCTGTAGGCATCTTTCTGCAAGATCTCCCTCGGGTTGGAGCAGGGTTAGGTAGCTTTTGAAGTAGCCAGCCAGGATTTCTGCCCAGGCCCCGGGGGGCGGGGGATGGAAGGAGTGGGTAGCACATGGCAGCAAACAAGTGGGGGTAGTGGTGTCATAAGGCAGGATTCTTCCCCCACAGACGAGGGGCGTCCAGGAAGGCTGCAGGGGGAGATGGCATTGTACCCAGCCCAGATGTGTGATAGGGTCCTGGCTGGGGGCCATGGTTCAAGGCACTGACTCTAGTAGAGAGGAGCCTGGAGGAAAGAGGAAAGGCAGGCTGGGGAGGCACTAGCAGTCTGTCCGCCACAGAGGGCCAGGCACCCTGGCCTTTTCACGTCCTCCTCCAGATCAGCGGTAGTGGGAGCGGACAGCTTTAGTTTCTTTAAACCAGGGCTGCTTCGCCTGCTTGAAGCCAGGAGCACCTGCAGTTGTGATGACCACAGATGTCCCCAAACATTGCCCAGTGTCCTCTGGGGACAGGATTGCCCTGGTAGAGAACTCCTGGACCCAATGATTTGGCTGATGTTCTGGGTGCTTTTTCTCTGCCAGGTTCATCAAGAAACTGGAACACACCTGGAAGGCACTTGTCCACGATGGGGTGAGCATCATTCATTCATTCACTCACTCATTCGTTCCATCTGTCAGTGCACAAGTGCAGTGACCATCTCCCTGCCAGGCACAGGTGCTAAAGAACTGAGAGACATGTCCCCCCTTCCTGGAGCAGCTGTACAGCAGAGGTGGCCCTGTGACCAGACAGCCACAGGGCAAGGGGTCAGCGGGTCTGAGCCATCTATGAGGGATACAGGAAGACTTCCTGGAGGAGGGGACCCCCAAGCTGATTGGAAGGCTTCCCAAGGACAGCCTGACTGGGAAAGTCAGGGGCCAGCCAAAGAAGAATCTGGAACTGTGCAATGTGAGGGGGTCTTGGCCCAGGGGCAGCACCACACAGCTCTGACTCCTGTTGCCAGGTGGGCATGTGGCCCACTTCAGCAGAACATCTCCGTTGCTTGAGAAAAGCTTGCAATGCAATTTTTCCTGAGCACTGCCAACATGGAAACCCCGGCAGTGGATTAATTCTAAATATAAAAAACTGTGAGAACCAACCACTGGGAGCCAAACAGCCCACTTGTGGGACCCTGGCAGCCCTCACACTCCTGGTCCAACTCTGGCAACAGCCAGCCCTGGTAGATAACTTTCCTTCTATGGCACCCCCCTTTTCAGACCAATTCTTACTAAAGTGTTAAGGGCTGTCCGTTTGCCTACAGTCTGTAAAATGCTAAGATCCCAATCTACAATCCTCCACACCCCTCAGAGAGTGTTTGGAGGATCAAGCGGGAGCTTTCAGAATGTGCATTGAGAAGATCCAGGTGGCCAACCAGCAGGAGGCTCTTTTTTTAAAAAAAGAGAAAAAGTGCGTGTGTTTTCATAATTGATTTCAGAGAGAAGAAGGGAGAGGGAGAGAGGGATAGAAACATCAATGATGAGAGAGAATCCCCAGTGTGGGGCATACAGGAGGCAGCCAATCAATGATTCTCTCGCATCATTGATGTTTCTCTATCTCCCTCTCTGAAATCAATAAAAGTACATTTTAAAAACAACAAAAACACTTTACTTACAAAACAGGTGTTAGGCCGTGCTCTGACAACCCCTGCTGTGGAAAACCCCTCTGGTTCCTTAATTTTGATATTTATCCGTTTACTTTGAATAGCTATTTGTTCTTTGAATAATTATTCACATGGCTCAAAAAATTACAAATACAGATAGGTTTACAATGTAAAAACCTTCCACGCCCCTTCCTGCCACTCTTACCTGATTCCCTGGGTCCCCGCCAGAAAGCTCCGTGCTGTGACCCTCCTACCCCTCCACAGAGGAGGCGCGCCCCAGCCCCCTCCCCCGCACTGGTCTGTTCTGGGCTGTCCTGTGGGACACGGAGCCATAGTGCTCACACCCCTGCTTGCCCTCGGGCCCCACATCTCTTCCCAGGACACTGTCTCCGTCCACCGGCCCAGCTTCTACGCCGAGCGCTTCTTCAAGTTCATGAGCAACACAGTCTTTCGGAAGAACTCCTGTGAGTTTACCTGCCTTTTGAGCAGGAGGGACCTGGGGTGTGGAGAGAGGCGAGCAGGCAGCCAAGAGTGTGGTAAACCAGGTGCCTCGTTCTGCTGCTTGGTCAGCCTCAGGGCTCAGTCGGACTTGGTCCCCAGAACAGGGTAGTCAGGCAGCTGCGCCACACAGGTCAGCACAGGGCCTGGTGCCCATGTCCACGTTTTAGTTCTGGCTTCGCCTCATTCTGTCGGTGTGGACCTCCAGCCAGTAGAGATCACGGTCCTCAGTTTCCCCACCTGTACAGAGCTGTGAGGGCAACATGTTTCATACAAGTCCAGTGCCAGCATTCAGCAGGGCTGCCCATAGCCTCGCTCTATCACTAAGGACATGTGAGTTTGGTGGCACTGAGATGGTCATTGGCCTAACTAGACATTGTCAGGGAACGTTACAGGGTGAGCGGTAATGGCTCTTGCTCTGTGGGTGGTCTCCGGAGGCCCCACATGTGTACTGGGCCTGGAGGGTCCCTGACCCTGGTGCACACCCCAGGCTGAGATCCCACGTGCCATCCCAAAGAGTCTTGCTCCCAACGTGTCTGTGTGTCTTCTACCCCTCAGCCCCCTCCAAAAACTGCAGGGTGCTTGCTGGCCTTGGTCACTGGTCCCCAGTGTCCAGCGTGGGGCCCGGTACATAGTAGGAACTCAGTGTGTGTGCCTGTGTGTGCCTCCTCCCCAGGTCTCAAACCCTGTGGTGTGCTCCACACGTGGGACCACTCGCCCAGCCCAGCCCAGCCCAGGCCTAGGGGGGCTGCAAGCCAGCCCATCTCCTGCAGTTGGCTCATAAAGCTGAGGCAGCTCCATGTTCTGTGACATTTAGTCAGTAGCTTGCAACTGCCTGGGGGGAACATTTATACCATGAAAATAGGCAAACACCACAAATCCAGCCTTGTCTCCAAAGAGCTGCGTGTTAACTGGACCAGCACACCACTTCCTGGGACCTTCTTGGGATGTTATTCCCACTGTAGTCCCGAGGAGAGTGCTGGCTTCGGGGGGCTGAATGGTTGTCCACAGGAAAAAGTGAGCACCTAGTGTGTGCTGGGAGCTGCGCTAGCCACCAGGGAGCAAGGAGAGGACGGTGACGGGTGATGACAGGCCGGGCCTGGTGCAGAGTGTTGCGGGGCTCCCTGCCTCACTTGACCTTGTTGCAGACGAGGATTCTGGGGTCAAGAGAGGCTGAGCTATGTTCCCCAGGCCACACAGCCTGGCTGGGGACCAGGTCCTTGGCGCTGAGCCTCGCACTCCCCAAGGCTTTCCATTTTCTTGTTTGAATGTTGGGCACAGCGATGGTGGGCTGGGAAAAGGGGATGAGGCCCCAAAGTGCTCAAATAAACATTGGCGCTGCTGATGCAGCTGCTGTTCCTGGAGGGCCAAGAGCGGAGGTGCTAGGTCCCATCTCGGTTGGTGGGCAGAGCCAGGTGGAAAGCAGGGCAGGGCTTTCTCCAGGAAGAGCGTTGCTTCCTGAGCAGTCGTCCCACTGCCTCCAGGCCCCGGCTTGAGGGGCAGGCTGGAGCTGGAACCGGAGCAGTGAGGGCCGTGTGTGCAAGCGGCGGGCCCCTCGGTGCCCACCACACTTTCACGCAAAGGAGAGACGGAGCTCTGTGGGGCCCTGCCTTGTCGCTGCCCCAAGCACATCAACCCTCTCCCTCCCCAGCCCTGAAGTCATCCCCATCCAAGAAGGGCCGCGGTGCCTTGTTGGCCGTCAAACCCCTGGGGCCCACAGCTGCCTTCTCAGCCAGCCAGATCCCCAGTGAGCGGGAGGACACGCAGTACGACCTGCGGGGCGCCCGCAGCTACCCCACGTTGGAGGACGAAGGTGACTGGGCAGTGGGAGTGGGCAGGTTTGTGACAGGAGAAATGAGGCAGCTGCTGGGGAAAGACACCATCCCTAGGGGGGAGGGGGAGGGGTGCAGGGAGCAACAAGAGCAACGCGTGTGAGGAAAGGGACCCCGCAGCTGGGCTAGGCCCGAGTGGGAGGGGTCCCCTTCCAGTTCAACATCTGCGGCACCTGGGGAGTAGGGAACAGCTGGGACGAGGCCCAGGAAGACCTGCAGGGAGAACTAAGCATAGAAAGCGCCGCCCTGGGAGGTGACACAGACCTAGAAGGAGGAAGTGTCCGTGGGTTGGGCCTGATGTTCTGGAGGTCCCTCCAAGCAACCAGGGTCGAAGATTCCAGTCAGGGAGGGGCTGGGGAATAGCATCAAGGGAGAAACTGCACGCGCAAAGGTCCTGGGGCCGGACGGTGCCTGGTGTGTTGGAGGAACAGTAAGGAGGCCCGTGTGGCTGCAGCAGTGAGTGTGAGGGAGGAGGTGAAGGCAGGGAGGTGATGAGGGCAGGTAGGGCAGGAGGAAGGGAGGCAGTTTGGATTTTAGTGTGAGAGCAGCAGGAAGGTACTGGAATCCCTTGTGCTGGGGAAAACTGTGAGTGCCAGTGGGAGCCACATTAGAGCCCAGAGTCCCTGCAGCAGGCCCTGGAGCCTGGCTCCCATAGGTACCCACTGCCTCCTCCCCACAGGCCGGCCTGACCTCCTGCCCTGCACACCACCTTCTTTTGAGGAGGCCACCACTGCATCCATCGCCACGACCCTGTCCTCCACATCCCTGTCCATCCCAGAGCGGTCCCCCTCAGAGACCTCAGAGCAGCCAAGGTACAGGTGAGCAGAAGGGGGCCCCGGAGGTGGGGGCGGCTCAGAGGTAGGGCTGCATTCCTAAGAGGAGGGGCCAGCACAGGGCCTGGGAGGGGTGGGGCAGGTGGGGAGGCCTCCCTACTCGTTCCATCTATTCCCCCTGTTTGTGTTCTCTCGGAAGGCGGCGCACACAGTCCTCTGGACAGGAGAGCCGGTAAGATGAGCCCCCAGCCCCCTCCCTGCCAGTCTCTACTCTAGTCCCCACAGTCTCCCCAGCTTCTCCTGCAGAGCCCCTTTGCCCCTCTTTCCGCCCTCCCCTTCCCTCTGCACAGCTCACCCCTCCACATCTCCACCCAGAGCCCCTCTTTCCTGGGGACAGATTTATTTTAACGATCAATCTTCAGGCTCTAGATCAGGGGTGGGCAAACTTTTTGACTCGAGGGCCACAATGGTTCTTAAACTGGACCGGAGGGCCGGAACAAAAGCATGGATGGAGTGTTTGTGTGAACTAATATAAATTCAAAGTAAACATCATTACATAAAAGGGTACGGCCTTTTTTTTTTTAGTTTTATTCATTTCAAACCAGCCGGATCTGGCCCGCGGGCCGTAGTTTGCCCACGGCTGCTCTAGAGCCACACAGAAGCTCGAGTCACTTTGTGTTTCACTCCTACCTGGGTGCCCCCTCCCCTGCATCTGTTAAACCTTTCTTTTTCTTTTTTATTCTAAGAGATAGAAAAGTGCACACAGTGAGATGCCTGCCTCTGCTCCATGCCCAGTCCCTTCCCTGGGCGCACCCCTAGATGTTTTTTCCCTCTGGAGGTATTTTATGAATATACAAGCAAACATACACTCAGGCCTGTTTCTCCCTTTTGCTTTGACAAAAGCTGTGGCTCTGTGCCCCTGTTCCTTGCTTTGTCACTTCCAGATGAAGGTTGTTGGTATGAGCATTTGCTGATTCTCTTCCTTCTCTTTTTTTAAAAATATGTTCTTACTGATTTTTAGAGCGAGAGATTGGGAAAGGAAGAGGGATAGAAGGAAACATTGACGAGAGAGAAACATTATCAGTCAGCTGCCCCCTGCACACCCCCTACTGGGGATCAAGCCCACAACCCGGGCATGTCCTCACTGGGAATCTAACTGTGACCTCTTGGTTCCTAGGTCTATGCTCAACCACTGAGCCACACCGGCCAGGCAGTTCCCTTCCTTCTAACAGATTGTTCCTGCTCTCGGGGACACTTGGGTTGTTCCCAGTTGGTTGACCTTGTCACACAGCTGTAGTGAATAGGGGTTGCTCTCCACAATTAGCTTTTGGGAGGATAATTCTTTCCAGTTGAAAAAAAGTCATAGTACAAAGCACATTTAGCAAAAAGTACATCTCCCTCTGTCCAGCTGCCTGCTGGCTGCCCAAAGCCTCCCACCAGGGGCCTCAGCTTCTGGGCCCCCAAACCACCCCACCCTAGTTCAGGTCCTAGGCAGGTTCCAAGCCACCCCAGGAATAGGGGCAGGATTCATGTCGCCAGTCATTCATTGTGCCCCTGCTGGTGCCAGAGTCCCAGGACAACCCCAAGTGAACGGTCATTTACTGTCCCCTCAAAGCCCCTAGCTGGGCATGGCAGCCAAAAGGACTAGGCCTGAGCTGGACCAGCTGAGGGCCCTGGTTGGTTGGCACCTAGAGATAGCACCTCAGACCCCATGGGACTGAAATCAGCACCTGCCCAGAGCTCAGCTGGAGTTCCTGGGAAGTGAGGTGGGAGAGGAGGGAAATTGAGCCTGTCATCCCACTGCCTCCAGGCCCCAGGAGGAGGCACGCGTAGAGGAGGACCTGCAGCAGATCACAGTGCAGGTGGAGCCCGCGTGCAGTGTGGAGATAGTGGTCCCCAAGGAGGAGGAAGAGGGGTGAGTGACCATCCAGTCCATGTGGTCCATGCTCTCCTGTTGCCTGGTTTCTGTACTCAACTTCTGCCCCAATCTCATTGGCTGAGCATGGTCACATGGCCAGCTGGCAGCAAGGCAGGCTGGGGAATTTATTCTGGGGAGCAGAGGCATGGGAATGGGGCTTCAGGAACTGAGGTGCTGGGGAGCATGGTTGCACTCACAGGGCTGCGTGTAATGTGTCAGTCCAGGGATGTACCTCGGTCGTGGTCTGCGATTCTCTCTCCTCCCTTCCCTCACTCTTAGCCTTGCCTGCACTTGCGAGAGGGTGACAGGCCAGTTTCTTCAGAGGACTTTTGGTCTCAGTCACCCTTTCTCCTCTCATATTTTGTTCTTGTTTCATCACTTTAACTCATCAGTAATTTTTTTCTTCTAACTTCTGATTTGTTTTCTCATTTGTTTCTTTTACTTCGGCATAGGTTGAGTGCTTAAGTTCCTTTTTTCTTTCTGTGATGAGAGGCACTTAAGGCTATGCCTTTTCCTCTGAGTGCTGCTTTTACTGTCCCAAGAGTTTTGACATGAAGCAGTTCCTTTTTATGCTGGCTCTTTATGGATAGTTAGTGATTTTCCCTTTAAGGTCCTCTTTGATCTAAGGCAGTGAGGCTTTCAACTACCTGGAGGCGGTCCTGCCCCCTGATGACAATGGGCAATGTCTGGGGACATCTGTGGTTGTCACAACTGGGGGTGCTCCTGGCATTGAGTGGGTGGGGGCCAGAGATGCTACCCAATACCCCACAGTGCCCATGACAGCCCCCCCCCCCCCCAGAGAGTGACCCAGCCCTGATATCAGCAGTGCTCAGGGAGAGAGACCATGGACTGAGGTTTACTAGTATTTAGGAGTGTCTCTGCACTTCTGGGTCCCTAAGGATTTTTTTTACCCTTTTAGTACTTAACTCTAATTCTACTTTTGAGTTGAAAAGTGGCCTAAAACAGCCTATGCTATGTTTTAAAACAGATTAAAGTCTATGGTCACGTACATACAACATTAGTTTTTTGGTTTTATGGTTTTTAGTATCCATGGACATATGGGAGAAATGTGTATTTTTTGCCAGGGAATGGAAAGTTCTCTGTCCTGTCAATGTATTGATTGTTGTCAATCAGTTTCTTTGTCTTAACTTATTTCTCATCTGTTTGGTCTATTGAATTTTATAATTTAGAATTTCTGTTCTATTTTTATTTTATTGTATTTTTTTTTGCTGTTCAATTTTAAGAGACCTTAGCATTTACACCACATTCCCAGGCTTCACTTTGCCATTAAGAGTTTATTTTACACGCACACATGCACACTCCAGTCTCTGCCACTGTGCTTTTTGCCATTAACTGAAGCCTCGCAGTGTAACATATCGCTCAGTCTTTGCCCAGAAAAACAACCTGACCTGAAACATGACTGAAGAACAACTTCGCCACAGTTAGGAACGCTCTGTCACCTTAGAGCTTGTCATTTATTCATGAAATGAAAATTACGTAGCAATCACATAGCCTTCAGCACGATTCTCAGCATCTCTCTCAGTCTCCGCCTCCTCACCTGTGATATGGAACAGCAGCAAACCCTTCCCAGGGAGGTCAGTGGGTTCATTCATACAAGGCTCTTGAGCAGGCTCGGCATATCCTAAGTGCTCAGACCTGCATGTCCCCACTTTACAGATGAGGAACTGAGGCTCAGAGAAGGAAAGGGAGGCTTTACGTTCACCCAGCGCTATAGAGGGTGCAGTGGGAGTAAGTGGCTAGGCCAGGACAGTTTGTGTGCCTGTGTTGAGGGGAGAGGTCCAGGTAGGCCAGTTATTACCTGGGCCACGACAAAACGGGGGGTGTTCAGTTTTATTTGGCTTCCTAAGACTTGTCTCCGCGGTGACACACTGTGAAGGGGGGCAGGAGGGTGAGAGGGAGTGGGCGAGGAAAGGATGGACTGCTGAGGGCCTGGCCCAGGACTCCCATTCCTGCCCTGTCCCCAGGGTGGAGGCTTCCCCGGCCAGTACCTCTGCCATTGTTGTTGAAGCTGAAACCGCCAGCCAGGCTTCAGAGCCCGCCAGCCAGGCCTCGGATGAGGAGGACACGCCCGCCACCGACATCTACTTTGTAAGTCCTCCTGGGCTCTCTCGTCACAGGGCCCTCGACCCACGTGTGCTCATGTATGCACATGCGCTGACATGCCCACACATGGGCACACATTGCACACACTATCATACCCCTATACCCATGTCTGTACACATGCTCTTACATGCTGACGGCACTCACGTGGTCTAGAACACATGCACACTCACGTGGCATGTGAGCTCCCCGCCTCAGACCCAGGCCAGGCCCAAGGCCAGGAAACGTCCCTGGGCCTTGCTCCCCAGACCTTGTGACCACTGCCTGGCAAGAGCCAAGGCCCCAGCTTTGCCACCCGGTCCCCCTGGGAATCACCCGAGTCCTCACACTCTCAGCCCCAGTGGCCCCTGGGTCCTGGGTCTGTGCTGGAAACGCTGTGGATCTTCTCCTCCTGGGTGATGGGCTGGCTGGGTGGGCTCTGTCCTTAAGGGGGCAAGGGAAATGTAGCAAGGGGCAGGTGGGCCTCATGCCTTCGTCTTCCCTGGCCGAGGACAGGCGGCTGTTCCTGAACAAGGCGGGGTTCATCACAGCAGGAAGGGGCCTGTCCCGGAGACCGGGGCCTCCCTCCCAAATCTGGGGTCACCTCCCCCCTTTACATCTCCTGTAGGCACAGATTAGATGAGCCGGGAGCCTGGGTGAGGTAGGTACTGGGTGGCCAGGAGCCTGCAAAGTCTAGTCCACTGGCCCTCGATGGTGGGTCAGGGGTCAGATGGCCCCAGTTGCAACAGAGAATGACCGATGCTGCAGCCCAACTGCCTGCCCTCTTCCCAGACCTCCATTTTCATCTCTGCCTCCCAAGGGAAGGTGAGCTGCGGGCTGCCCACTGCCCTGGTCCTGGCGCCTAGCCTCAAACCTCCAGGCCTGGGTGGGCCTGGCCCTCTGCTGCTATCGCTGCTTCTTAACTACCACCACCTGCTGTCCTGAGCCAGTGCTGCTGGGTCACAGGGCCCCTGCCAGGAACTGTAGGGCACACACTGTATGCTGTCCTCCCTACCAGCCATCATTTTCCCATCCCTGGGGCTTGACTTTTGTCCTGTTCTCTCGAAGTGTGTGTGAGGTGGTTGGGCTATGTCCTGTGAGTGGGTGGCTGGACCACAAGGGGTAGCAGAGAAGGTAGAGGCCACAGTGTGACCCTGACACCCCCAAACTCTCCTACTGCTTTGCCATTGGCTACCTGCCCCGCCTAGCACCCTCTCCACCTGACCTTCCTGACCTCAGCTGGATTCTGCATTCCTATCCCCTCATCCTGTCCTCTCTTTGCCTCCTCCGCCCTCCCGGCCCACCCAGTTCACGGATGGGAGGTACTGGATTTACTCTCCCCGGCATCGCCGACTGCGGGCCGTGACGCTGAGCTCCTCGGGGACTGTAAGTGACACAGCAGGCCTCCAGGAAGCCCAGCCCCTGCCCTTCTGAGAAGGGACGTGGGGACAATAATCATGATAACTGTGCAGGTGCCCTGATGTGTGTCCTGCAGGGATGTCACTTAATCTCCTGTGAAGTTAGCATCAGTGGCCAGCAGGTGCACGGCTAGTGCTCAGCGGGCCTGGCCATGGTGGAATCTACATTTGAACCCCAGCCCCAGGCCACCTCTTCCCAGCCCTTCCAAGCGAGGGACAAGTCAGGCGGACACCTATCATTCATTAAGACTTTCCTGCTGATGGCTCCTCAAGGGGCATCTGCCTTTCTGATGGGGATGGTCACGTGGGTCAATAAGGGACTGCAAAGCTGACTCTTAGCTACAGGAGAGAGGAGCTACTATCTTCATACCCATTTCACAGATGGAATAACTGAGGCCTCTGCTCCTCAGGGAGCCCACAAGAGCACACAGATTAAACAAATTCTGAGTCCAGCCTTTGTGTGTAGTCGACACTCATCCACCCAGTGGGATGCTATATAGATGTCATGCAGCAGTGGCCTTATCAGTCCTGTTATTGTCGTTATGAGCGATAAGTGAAGGGCCCAGAGAGGCCAAGTAACCTGCCCAGAGCCGCACAGTGTGAATGGGTGGAACAGGGTAAAGAACTGGAGAGAGTTTCTGTTCTTAAGAGGAGGCTCACACCACAGCCCCAACAGCAACCCCCCTGCTTGCCACTGGGTGTCAAGACTGCTTCACCACTCCCTCCTGCCACACTGTCATCCCAGGATGGGGATGCCATCCCCCAGAGGTGACTTCATGACCCATCAGCTGGGGACACACAGCAGCCCCCAAGGGATCCCTGGGGGGAGCAGTTTGCAGAGGTGCCTCGAGGGGGTTGACCTGGACTTTAAAAGACACGTGGGGTGTGGAAATGAAGAGGAAAGAGTGTCTCGGCAGGGGGCGCAGTGGAAACGGAAGTGTGGAGGCTGGATGGGAGGACAGGAAGGCTGGATGAGTGGCGAGAAGGACCCTCAGGCCTGCAGGAAAGATGTGCCCTTGACCTAACTCTAATGGGGTCATCCCTAGTTTCTGGGTCCCTCCCTCCCCCAGACCCAGCTCTCTACAGAGGGTCCAGTGGGACCCTCTTTTCTCACGTTTTGAGTCCCAACAGGGCAGCTAGGTCAGTGTCAATCCCTCCTGCAGCTTCCCGGTGCTGGGCACTGGGTACAAGCAGCCCCCAGACAGCCTGACCCTGGCCTCCAGGCTCCCAGGTGGGCAGGGGAGGCGGAGCAAGCTGCTGCACATGAGCAGGGTTTTGTATTGTGCCGTAACCGTGTGAAGGAATGAGGGGCCTGCAGTAGTGTCTTGCCCTGCTGCCCCGTGTGCCTTTGTGCTAGTCCACAGATGGGCACAGGGGTCTGGCCTGTGAGAGCTGCAGGGAAGGTGGTATTGAGCAGACACAGAGGTTGGGGAATCAGCAAGTGGGCTCTGAGGGGCAGTGAGTGCTTGAGAGGTGGGTCTGGGGGCTTGTTGGTTGTGGCTGTAGGTTTAGGGCCTGGGGACAGCCAGGTGGACATGGCCAGGGCAGGTGTGTGCTCAGGCCTAGTGCTCACAACAGGCTTGAGCCGGGGTAGAGGTCCTCAGGCCTCGGGGCTTTGAAGGCCAGGAGTGGGGGCTCCTGGGCGAGAGGAGGAAGAAAGAAGACAGCTGAGATGGGAACAGACCTGGCAGGAAGCACGCCTGCCCCCAATCTGATGACAGAATGGGCAACCCCTTCCCCAGACACAGCTGGAAGAGCACTAGGCCACCCGCCACCTCTCACCTTCAAGCGCCCCCAGAGCTTGCATGGCAGGCAGGATCTGGGTTTGGGTGCTGCTGGGCTAGGTGTCACGGGTGGGCAGAGGAGGAGGAGGAGGAGGAGGAGAGAGGACAGCACAGTACACCAAGCTCCTGCCACCTTTGCTCCCCACCCCGACTGCACTCACTGCTTCTGCTGCCCACCCTGCCTGCTCAGGCCACTCAACCCCGGTCCTGCCCATCTCAAGGCCCGTCCAGGTTGGGGGCAGGTCCCCATCAGGGAGAGGGCAGCCGGGGGCCGAGCTGCCCACTTGTCCTGCATTGGGGGTCCGCCTCTTTTATTTCTGTTTCTTCCTTCCTCCCTCTCACCTCTCTGGTGCCTCCTCACACCCTGCTCTTCTCTGCGCCCTTCCTGCACGTGCCGCCTGCCCGCCCTCCAGCCCACCGATGAGAGGAGCTGGGTGTACTCCCCACTCCACTATAGTGCACAGGCCCACTCAGCCTCCGACGGCGAGAGCGACACAGTAAGTGTGCCCATGGCCTGCCAGCCTGGCCTGCTTGGGGCTGAGAGCACCCCAAGGACAGAGGGGGAAACAGGTCTGGGGCGGGAGGGGTAGGCCTGGGCTCTTCCTGTGTGGTGGCCCGTGGGTAAGTATTTTGGGGTCTGTGTCCCGCCCTCATGGCATGTGGAGTCCCTGGCCTGAGGCATCAATGGTGGGGCCAGGCCCCATCATGGGAGGCCCAGTGGGTTGGGGGTCCAGCCACGGCTCATCTTGCCCTCACCTGCCTCTCTTGCCTTCTGCAGTAATTTCTACAAATCACCAACCATAGGAGTGGAGCATACACTGGCCAGCCCAGCTCGGCCCAGAGCACAGGAGCTGCCACCTGGCTGCCACTGGACCTCACTCGCCCACACCCTCCCCTTGGCGATGGCCACTGATGCTCCGGGCTGCAAAGCAATGACCCCGGTTCCGTCAGCTACCTGCGCCTGTGATACTGTGAACCTTCCTGAGTTTCCAATCATGTATTTATTTTGGGTCCTTACTCTTTGCACAGAGACAGCAGCACACAGCTGCTTTTTTTTACAAAAACAAAAAACAAAACAAAAAAAACACAATGGGAAAAGAAGACACTTCATTCTATGCACTTTTTGGTTCTTTGCTATGCTTGCATGTGTCTTGCTGAGAGAACAAGGCTCATTGGCTTTGGGGACCTGTGACCCAGTGGTCCAGCCATTCCAGGTGAAAATCCTGCTGAGTGTCCGCAGTCACCGCCCTGCTCCGCCTCTGTCTATCTTGGATGGGCACCTAGAAGGAAGGGCCACCAGGTCCCCACTAGTTCCCAGGGCACCTCTGGAAGCCACACACCTGTGCCCAGCAGCTGCCCTCAGCTCAGGTTTGTGGGCGGGGTGCCAGGCATCTGCCCTTGGGGAAGGCCGCCTGATGGCCTGGGGTGGCTCACCACCCTGCTGACTCCTCCATCTCTCAGCGTATGTTTCACACCACCCCCGCCTCCCAGGTGACTTGGAGCAGAAATAGCCTGGCAGTGACTAGAATATGGACATACGGCCACCCCCTCTCTCGATGGAGCTCAGGACTGTGGACGTCTCTCATCCATGTGGACCGCCTAGTGTCTGGAAGATAGGGCCCAAGTGATGGGAGACACCTTTTCAAAGAAGGATTTCTGAAACGTCTGACTCAGAGGAGGCAGCTGGGCCCTCAGCCACAGGACTTCCGGAGAGCATATGTCCTGGAGCAGGGCCCTCCCCAGGGGCAGGCACAAGGCCTAGAGGGACAGACTCTGCAGCAAGAGGCCCCCATGACGGGTGGGCAGCCTCTCTCTCATTTTTAAATGATGAAGACACCTGTGCAGATTAAAGGAAAAAATTCTTTAATGAAAAACAGTATTTTTATTTTTATTTTTGTCATCTTCAACAGGGGCAGCCATTCCAGGGCCCCCCTGGGCGACCGCCAGGATACGCTGCTGTGTCCGGAGGGGTTGCTGTAGCCGACAGCTTTGCAGAGTCACTCCTCCCCCTAGACACACTTCCACCTCCTGAGATGAAACGTCAGTGATGGCTGCCCCCTACCCACTCTGTGGACCCCCGCCAGCTCGGGCCCACATGGGAACAGCTGGGAACCGGCCCGGAATAGAAGCCACATCTTTCGGAAGAATTTCTCCCCAGCCCCAGCCTCCCTGGTGGAGCCTGAGACAGCTAGGTAACTCGCTGACCTAGGAATCTGACTTTTTGAGTCCTTTGCAAGCTGCACATACTGTTGCTGGTTCTTGCTATGCAGGTCCCTCCTCATCCCACCTCGGACAGCCTGCCGGAGGGGACCTGTTGGTCTGGCTGCTGTCTACTCTTCCCGGAGAACCAGGCCGTGCCCCGAAGGCTCTCCTGCTGTCTGCACAGGGGCAGCACCTCAGCTCTGAGCAGGGCCATGGGAGACTCTGTGCAGCCTGGGGAAGGGGCCCTCAGAGAATCCGCCAGAATAACCTGCAGGTAGCCCGAACAAGAAGCAAGACAGCATTCTTCCCTACTGCCCAAGGAGCATTTGTCCAGACCCTGGGGAGCACCCTCACCTGGATTTCAGACCAGCGCTGTCTGCAGACACCCTGGCCACAAGTCACCAGTCTGTTCTGACCAGTCCCACCAAGAAGGCAGGCAGGCCGAGCAGGCAGACTTCTGGAGGACTAACAGGGACAGCTGCGTCACCCAAACACCAACGTGGGAGTCACCACCCAGGCGCCCAGAGGCTGGGCCCCAGAGACATCCTGAGCCCCTGTGCCAATGACCAGTGGAGCAGCACAGTCCTGGGGCAGTGGGCCCTGCGTCCAGGGCATCCTTGGTCAGTATAGAAACGAGCAAGGGAGTTGCCTGCTGGGCCCCTTGGGCTCTCCTGAGTGAATCACAGAACAAATGCAGTGGTTGGATGCTGACTTGTAGGAGAAATTTGCAAACCTCCTGGATATGACATTTCTGTTTTCGTGTTAAGTCAGGAAGACCCCTTTGGAGACCCATTTTGTGTTGTATTCTTTGTCCCAGGACTGTGCTGATGGGAGGCATTTGTCCATTCTTTTCTGGGCAGGGGGGCAGGAAGGCAAGACCTTATTTATAACTGTAGTAGACCCATGGCCTTTCTCAGACCCCTGACCAGGAAGGCCTGGGCCAACCCACCCGGCCCCCCAAAGATGGAAATCTGTAAATTGTCCCCGTTTCTCTCCTGACTCATCTCTGATGGCCGCTGTCGCTGAGAACATGGGCAGCGTCTGACGTGCTGTACTGTAAAAACAAAAGGCATTCCCTGAGGCCGACAAGGTAGAACCTTCTGTGTGTCCCCTGCCAGCCACCTCTCAAACCCCCAACCCCCTCCACCACCTGGCTTAGTGCAATACTCCCATCCCTGATGGGGTCTCTTGCCATGGTACTGTCACCACAGCCCACAGTCCCCATCCCAACCTTGTTTTTATGGCTGAACTGATTTCAAAACACAACGAAACTGCAAACCTTGTGTGTCTTAATTCTCACCGGGGCTTCCGCGTGCTCAGCCCCTGGTCTGGTATGTGACAATCCAGAGCGCAGCCTCCTGGCCGCCTCTGTAACCTTACAGCCGCTGCTGGCCCTGATAACACTCATATGCAGCCCCGGGCCCCATCCCTTCCACCCCTTCCTCTTTTTATGTTGAAGAGATCTCTAATAAATCGGGTAATACTCATCTACCGCCTCTGCCTCTCTGTGCGTTCCTATGGTCTGGTTGGGAGTCTGAGGACCCGCTTTGAACAAAACATAAACCCTCGGGAGATTTAAAATAACAACAGTACCCAAATGTCTTATTTTACTGACTGCTTTGAGAGAAACATTAATTTGTTGTTCCATTTATTTATGCAATCATTGGCTGATTCTGTGCCCTGACCGGGGATCAAACCCACAACCTTGGCATGTCAGAATGACTCTCAAACCAACTGAACTATCCGGTCAGGGCCAGAACCCAAATGTCTTAATTGCCTTAATAGCTGTGGCGGCCTGGATTTCAGTTCACCTCGAAAAACTTTTAAAAGCTTCTGACGTCATCCTAGCCAGTAGGGCATGTACCTTGGTTGCAGGCTCCATCCTGGCCCCATACGGGAGGCAACCAATCTCTCTCACATTGATATTTCTCCCTGTGTCTCTCCTCCTCCCTTCCACTGTCTAAAAATAAATGGGAAAAATATCCTTGGGTGAAGATTAACAAAAAATAAGAGCTTCTGATATCATTGCAGCCCAGCTCAAAAGAACAAACACTCCCCAAAATGGCTCATATTGAGTAATGCATGGACCCCATTTAAAGGAAAAATATTTCTACCAGACTCCCAGTTTAAGAAGCACTGCGTTGAAAATCAGACCTGTCTGTGAGCAAGCCCTTGGAAACCCAGTTATAATCATAGATGCAGATGCAGAATGGCTCAGCTCTCGTATAAACCAGACACGCAGATAATCTAGAAGGTGCTTTCCTTACATTCAAATATTAAAATTCAAATACTCTCACAGATGCATCTGCATTTTGAAGATCTCGGGGCCAGGCCTCACTGGTTCAACCCATATCCCATGACAAGCAGGGTTGTCATCAGGGTGGCAAGAGATGGTCTGTTATTTCTTTTGGAAGACTTATTTTTTTTTGTATATATTTACAATATAAGTACTAATTTGTTTTCATAGTATATATTCTTTAACAATTTGCATAAAGTTATCTAACATGGGACAGCAATTTCATGTAAAGCCTCTATAGCAGTGATTCTCAACCTTCTGGCCCTTTAAATACAGTTCCTCATGCTGTGACCCAACCATAAAATTATTTTCATTGCTACTTCATAACTGTAATGTTGCTACTGTTATGAATCATAATGTAATCTGATATGCAGGATGGTCTTAGGCGACCCCTGGACCGCCAAAGGGGTCACGACCCACAGGTTGAGAACCACTGCTCTCTAGTACTGATCAAGGAAAAAATAGAACTATTTTGAGGATAAGGGATTCTAGAAGGAATTCTTTGGAAGACCACCCCACCTGGCACCTTGGTACCAAGCACAAGTAGAGCACACAATGCCAGCATTTGGGGTGGTGTTATGAAGCTATATTTTAAGATAAAGATTTGAAGAATTAGTTTAAAATACTAAGTACTATCCTCTGATGGGCTGGGAGAGCTTGGAGCAGCTCTTTGGGGTTCTCTAGATCTCCAAGCCTCCTGTCCTCCCTGACTCATCCTACCCAACTACCCTTAACAGCCAGTCCCACACTGATCCCTCCCATGGATCCCCAGCACCCACAGAACAAAGCTGGACCACCCAGTTCAAATTGCAGCTACCTCTTTGGGATCGAGGGAAGGGTGTTAAAGTGACTTTCCCCTCTCCGGGCCTCAGTTTCCCCATCTATAAAATGGGTTGAATGGAAACTAAAAGAGTCATCCAAGATTTTTTTAAAGCTTAATCCCTAAAGTACATAACTATTCATTGGCGGATGGTGCAGCATGATGGTGACTCTCATAGAAGGTCAGCCCAACATCTGAGGCTTTTTAGTCTCCATCCAGCTCCTGCTCTTTGTCATCTTGAGAGGTCGGGACTCGAACCTACGGTCTTGCGGCTTCCCCGCCTACACACGCCGGGAGTCCTCGCTCCCTGTATAGGCCTCCTCTTGGCCCCGCCCACAAGGCTCCACCTCCTCCCTGGACCCGCCCCTTCTTGGTCTCCTCTCTCCAAACCCCGCCCCACTAACAGTTCCTGGTGCCTCTTGACCTGAGGCACGAGGACCCACGCGGGACTGCTCCTGGCACTGCCTGACGGGCGAGTCCCCGACAGTCCGGCTGGGGTCCGTCAGCGGACCACGTTTGCAGGAGCTGGGAGGTTGGTGACAAGGCGTCCGAGTCCCCGCGGGTAGGGTGGCGGGATGGGTTCTCACCTCCCGGCTCAGGCTCGGACCGGGCAGCCCGGCGCGCGCCGCGGCGGAGGAAAGCCCCCGGCGCAGGCCCCGGATATTTGTGTCTGCGCCGCCGCCATCGTCCCAGCTGATGGGTCGGGATACCCGCTCGCGCTCGCGGTCGACGGGTCGTAGGGGTCGCAGGGGCCGCAGGCGGCGGAGCCGGAGCGGGAGTCGAAGCCGACATCGGAGCGGGAGCCATGGGCGGCGAAACCGGCGGCGCCGGGACGACGAAGGGCGACGAAGGCGGCGAAGCCGGGAGCGCAGGTGGGGTCGCTGCGTGAGCCGCTCGGGATTCAGCTCCTGCCCTGGGGAGGGGTGACCCCCGAGTCCGGCAGGGAGGGCTTCCTGGGGAAATGGACGTCGGGCAGCGGATGGGAAGCGAGGGGTGTTTTAGGAAGGGCACGGGTGCAGGGAGGGACCGCCAGGAGCCCGGTTAGCGAGGCCGCTGACGCAAAGGTAACGGAGATGAGGCCGTGCAGGTTCCTGTCGTGGTAAAGGGCTTGGCCGTCATTCGTAGGGGAGTGCGGGGCCACGGGAGGATGGTGAACACGGGCGTGACGTGGGTCGGCTTCCTTGGCAGAACTCTCTCTGGCTTTCACGTGCAGAAGGGACTGGCCGGGGAGGAGGAGGAGGAGATGCAGTTGTCCAGGCAGCAGATGATGGCGGCCTGCAGGGAGGGAGGCTGCGGGAGGCACCATGAGAAAGTGGGTTGAGTTTCGTGGATTTGGGAAGTGGAGGAGGGCGTGAGAGAGCCGTTGATGGCAGGTGCAGAGCTCAGGGGCTCCGAGGCCCCGGTCTCAGTGTCCCCATGGACCACTGTCCTTTCCTGCTGGCGATGGAACACCTTGCCAGGATTGACCTGGGCTTGTTCCGGCGCAGAGGAGCCCGCACAGTGATGGGGACTGACTCCAGGACCTGGGTCCCCGAGCTGGCTCAGTCCCTAGCAGGCTGTGACACGCAGGCCATTCTCTTACCCACTGTGACCCCAAGTTTACTCACCTGTGTCCTCAGTATTTCCATGGGGACCCCAGGTTTTCTCTCCAGACACTCATTGTCTCCCATTCCTTCAGCTCAGCAGTTTTCAGCCTCTTTCATCTCATGACGCACATCAAGTAATTACTAAAATTC